ACGCTGTGTTCACTGCATCATTCCATGTTTGGCACTGATCACCACCTGCACTCATGAAAATAAAAATAAGAATAAGAATTAAAAGTGCTAAGTAGATAGATATATACATGTCTATTTAAGCGTAATTTATGACAGTATGTTTGCACTGAAGCACCGCAGCAATTTCCTAATGTTGTAAACCTGCTCAACATTTGGCAATAAAACCCTTTCTGATTCTGATTCTGATTCTGGAGTTTGACACTTGTGCCTTAGGGTAAAATGCTTCAGATACCTTGTGACAACATATAAACGGAAGACAAGTATTCCCAAATGAAATATGTCAACAACTGAAGCCATTATCAAATATTCCAGAAGATCACTCCATGCTTACTGTACACAACGAGTGATGTGACTGAACTGAACTGTAACTTTGATGTATGTATCAACAAATTCGTGATGTTTCCTATCTGCAGTTCAAGAGATTCCACAGAGATGTTATTATCGAGCTGGAGAAGAAGACAGAGATGGATGTCAAATACATGAACGTAAGTGTCTCCATAGAGAAAACAGCGTTTTTCTGTCTCTAATCCAAACAGTCACAGTATGAAAGATGGGCATGGCGACCCTGACATCAACAAGTATTTTTAGATATCACATTTTGAACCCTTAATTTTAGCATTTTGATCATAACCAGTAGTTTGGAACACAGGGTAGACTGCTATGTTATCAGAAATGTGTACCAGAGTTTAAGCTTGGATGGTCTAGTAGTACAAATAACCACAGTGCAAGGCATATTTTTATATAATAACTGCATTACAAATCTTCCAAAATCACCAACACAGGTCGAGAGTTCAGTGGTTCTAATGATCTGAGGAGAAGCCCAGCAGGAAGCTACTAGCGACAAGCACCTGTCAAGAGGTCTACATGTACTTAATGTGGCCACACTCTAATAGTACACAACATTAAGCTTTTATTACAATTAAAGCTTTAGTTGGAAGTTAAAAAGAACGGCTGGTATAAAAAGAATTTTATACCACATGTTGAGTTCTGTTGGAAAGATCACTTTTGGAGCCAACTAAATTGATTATTTCAGCAAATGAGTTTTAGGCATTTCTACTTCTTCTTTTTTTCCGGAGTTTCCTCTTGCATACATCTTGTTTATGTAACTATATTTCATGGAAGCTAAGCGTCCCTAAGGGAAGCATTGATGATGGTTTAGTTCTTCTTGTTTGTGTAGTGAAATGCCTGTTTTCCTCTTGTTAAATGACTCCTGCAGGCCACCTTCAAGCGCTATCAGTCAGAGCACAAGGTGAAACAGGAATCCCTAGACCGTTCTCAGACAGACCTGAAGAAGCTCAGGAGGAAAAGCCAGGGAAAGCACTCATCCAAATATGACCTCAGAGAGAACGAGGTGAGCTTGAAACAAAACCAGCTCCAATCTTTCCTGAACATTAAAAGGCGACTGTGTGCTAATACTTTGGATGTTTTTTAAAGTATGTGGAGTTTGAATGCTGACACTCGGCTGGCTGTGAAGACTGGATGACTAGTATAACATTTATTTGACAGGGTAATGAATTGAGGCCAAGGCTTCTCGTGATAGGGATTAGTTTGCCTGTAATATTAGGGCAACTCATTGGAATGAAATTCCATGTTTGCTTTTCAGTTATTTTATTTTTTTTCTTTTGTATTACATAATAGCGCCGCTGATGACAGGCGTTTGAGAAAGGACACCCTTGGTGTCTTCAAATGTTTTGACTTATGTGGGATAAAAGGGCATTTTAAAAACCTTTCATTTAGTAATAAAACTATCAAAGAAGTCACCGTGGTCAAAGCTGCGTGCAGTTCACCTGTTTTTACATGGTGCACAATAGAACAATCATATGGCTTAAATGACTGTTTTCATAGAAGGTACACACACCCATTTTTTTGTACAAAGGAAAGCATGCATGCAGGCACAGATTCAAACCCTGTTGAGATTCAGGTTGTATTGGATGCAGCACATCTGATTGGTCTACTAATAAGTTTCATTCATGTAAACCACAAATGTAAGCAGTGATTAAATAAATACAATTCCATTTAGAAAAACCTACAAAAACAGTCAAAATACTGTTGTTTTAAATATCCAGTTATTACTGACTGATGGACTAGTTAATTTGATTAACTTTGAATGCACTCAGGTGTGTGTGGGTGTTGTGTTGGTATATAAATACTACCCCTCCATCATTCTTATCGTTGATTTGCATTCTGCTCAGAAAGTTTCCATCATGTAATTATGTTTTCTTATGACAACAACAATCATTTCTGTGGCTTTTTAACCTTCAGTCCACTCTGGAAAAAGTGGACTGATGTGCTTATTGTGCAACGTAGTGTGATGCATTTATCTAAGTACGGAAACTTAAAGTGGAGTCCACAGTAGTGTCTACAGGTATAAGCTATTTACATTTAAGTATTTGAAGATCCTTTTTAATAAAATGTTCACAACCAACACCAAAAGTGAAAATTATTAAAATGAATGTCAGTTCAAAGTCCACAGTAATCGAAGGCAAAGTAAGGAAAGTGTGTAGCTGAATATTCAAATATGCTCACTAAGGCTTTTATTATTATTGCTAGCATAATGCTTCATAGTTGGTACTGTACAGTGCTGTTCATCTGCATTGTATAAAGACAATGCTAATGCTAAACTGGATCTACAATGACAGCATGGCTTCATAGTAAAAGTAGAAGAGTCTGGGAACTTGCATGCCTGCAGTCCAGACCTAAAACTTGTGTATTATGAGATTCTTTAAGGAGTAAAAACAAAGAGCAAAAGAGATCTAAGTGTTCTAGGTTTGCTCTGTTGTGTTTTTCTGCTGCTAAACTCTGTATCAGTCCTCTGTTTATCTTTGCATTTGAATGGCACTGTTTAAAAGACACCCATACAATAAGCCGTGTTGTCTGGGTGGAGCTTGATAGCCTGATCCTGTTTCTCAAGCCAGGTTGAAACTGGGGCCTTTCTTTCCACAGAATGGACTTTTTCATTATCTGATAAAAATGACACCAGTGAGCTACATGCGAGACGAGTCTAACTGCCCAGCTTTCTAATAATGTGTAGGGCTTGAGTAAGGGGCCAGTAATGAGCTCAGCCCTGTCGGCCTGCTCTTCCACCTCACGTCTGGGCAATTTTAGTGGTGAAAATGGGAAATGAAGAGCTTTGATTCCGTGTCTGAGAGAGAGACACACATAGAGGGAATGAGACCAGACAGTAGGGGAGGGTCTTTGACAGAGCCCTTGGAGATAGGCTGCTTTACCATCACCATGACAACCTGGGGAAAATGAAAACGATTGGGGGAGTAGGCGTTGAATAAAAAAGGGATGGAGTGAAGGTTGGGAAGTTTATTTTAAAGGGTTCAGTGTGCCTTGTGTCAGGGTCCAGCTGCCCGTGTGTGCGGCGTGACGCGTAGACTCAGTCTCAGGCTCTCTGTGGGGAAGGGGAAGACTGATTTGGTCTCCCGCTGAGCTAAGATTGATCCAGGGGCAGCAGGAGACTCAAATAAATTTGTCCCTAAGTGCAGGGACTTTGACTACAAAGCTCATTAGGAGCGTGATTTGTGCATCTAACCTGAGCACCCAAACAGCTTTTGCTCACAGGGAGCCATCAAGAGTCAGTTTTCCCAATCTTGGGTGTTAAAGCAACAAAAGTCCCCCGATCAGAGGCGTTGGCACCTGGTAGCAAAGAATTAAATAAAATAAAATAAACAGCAAGTATTTTGAATAGTCACCTTACTCCATTTAAAAGAGGATTTTATTTATGTTGCAATTATGGCCTGATACAGATGTGACTGAATATATGTGTATATATAAATGCAAAGTTTAAAAAACAAAAGGGATAATGCATGTTAAAAAATTTCAAAAATACTTAATTAAATGGACCTATATTAATACTACAATAAATAAACTACAAATAGAATAAATAAATGTACATCAATATTAATGATAGTAATTAAGTTAATAGCTCCACCCACATGTGGTTAAACCCTTTTGTTTGTCATAATCTTTCTTCTGACATTTTTTGAACTGAGATAAAGATTATTTTGAACTGTGAATCATGCAAAGCTACTCTAATACAGCCAAACAAAACTATGGAGCTGAAAATTGGCTAAATAGATCCTCTTAACTATAAGCTCATCAATGCATTTAATGAACCCGATGAAGCACAGATTAAATTGTTGTTATTCACCCTATTCTGTAACCTCTTGTCCTGTGACCACCTTCTGCAGTACTTGCAGACTATCTCATCACGCCAGATGGACATGCAGAAGTTCATTGCTGACGGCTGCAGAGAGGCTTTGCTGGAAGAAAAGCGACGCTTCTGTTTCCTGGCGGACAAACACTGCATGTTCTCCGGTCAAATTAGCAACTTCTATGAGAACGTAAGCAAGGACTGAGATGAACATCCAGCACAGCCGCATCACACCTTCTATAATGGATCATTTAACTTGCTCTCATTCTCTGGTGCTTCCAGGCCAAAGAAATACTGTCGGTGAAGATCCCCACCTGGCAGGAAAAGTGCAGCGACATCACCAAGGTGCCAGACTCTGTGGTGAGCATGATAGAAGGGCTGTCCGTCGTTCCACAACAATCACCGCTGGTTGATCACTGTAACAGGGTTGGTTTGATTTTATTATTTGATTTGTAAGTGTGAAATCTGTAGATGTTAAGCATTCTTCTGTCATGTATTACCTTGTTCTATCACATATTCTCACCGTACCATGGGGGTAGTTTAGATTAAAACTGAGGATAGAGCATGCTGTAGTGCATAAGGAGAACAAAGCATTTGTAAAAGACTGGCCCTGCGGGGTTTTTATCTTCTCAAGTTGTTGTGTTGTAGTTTATCTTGTTAAAGTAATGAAATCTGTTGTATCAGATGAAAGCTGTTGTGTAAAGTAGTAAGACATGGGTGATTGTTATCAGCAGGAATTCTCAGATGTGTTGTTGCTGTTGTGTGGTGTTAAGGTCCAGTGAGGCAACAGCTGTTTAGTGCTTCACACTTCACTTTGTGACTGTTTGATTATAGCACTAAGGACCTGTTGAGATCTGAATAATGCCAATTCACTTTGTCATATTGATGCATCCGCTAATCAGTCTTTGTGATCTCTTCAGGTCAATGTGGACTCTGGCCCTCCTCCAGCACCACCCCTCAAAGCTCAGTTCAGCCCACTTGCCAACATGTTTAATCAAGAGCCCACATTTCCATTTAACTCCTCTTCAGACCACAGCTCAGGTAAAGTTGGCTTATGTGAACTGCATAAATAAATATATAATCTTTATTGGTGAAGACTAAATCAACTTTGTTATCTACATGATGTGTGATTTTTATTTTTCTTCTGTCTAAAATAGGCCAGACTCGCTCATATTTCCTGTATATGTGTAAAGGAAACATTCTCATGCCAGAGCTGTCCATTAAATAGCTGCAGAAACAGCTAGCCATCCCCCCAAATTAAAAAAAAAACAAAACAAAACTTCGTTTACAACGGTTCAACAGAAATCTGGCAAAGTCTCATTTCTAGTCTCTTCTGCCTCCAGATCAGGGCAGTATTGGAGATGGCAGCCTGTCGAGATCTACATCCCAGTCATCTGGTTTGAACGTGAGCAAGAAGTTCCGGGTTAGAACCATTTTCCCTCACACAGCAGGCAACAACGACACGCTCCTGAGCTTCGATGAAGGCGACATCATCACTCTGCTCATCCAGGACGAGAAGGACGGCTGGTTGTACGGAGAGCTGGAGAAGACGCAGCAGTGAGTCTTCATCTGCTTTTGTATTCAGGGCTGTGTTGACGGCTACGAAAACCTGAGCTTAGTCTCCTCAATCTCATTTAAAGTTACATTTTGTAATCTGGGTATCGTTCATTTTATTCACTCAATAGATTTGTTGTCTACAAATCCCAAATATCTCTAGTTGAATATTATTTTTATTTATTCCTTTATTTATTAATTTTTAGGCAATATCAAAACATTAAAGGTACAGTTTGTAAAATCTCACCATTAGATGTTAGTGAATTGCAGATTGCAGTCAACTGAATTCTGTTTTCTTGTCCCTACCAGTCAAGTGCATAATCTTAGCTACGGTGGGCGTTTTAGCATTTTTAAAAAAAAGTTAACTTGTTGGTACACCTAAGACAGGAATGATACTTCCATTACAAGAAAGACGTTGCAGTCGTGGCACACGGGTGGTTTTTTTCCCCCACATAACTCAGCTGACAGTACAAGTTTCTCTTTTGTGCTTTTGCTGCTTTGTCATGCTAGTACCACATGCCTCAAAATACAGAGTATGTCCGGTATGTTCAACACGACAGTCGTAAAGCCTGATCTTAGCTCACTCACGTACACATGCAGAAAAATGGGTGCAAACATGCAAAAACCCCCAAAACAAACCAGGAGGCATCTTCTCATGTAGATTATACAACAACAACATTTTCCTTCCCCAAACACGAGGAAGGAAAATATTTTAGCTGGAACTTTTATAAATTCCAATGAAGTCAGACCTTTTTAGCAGCTGTGATTACATGTCACCTCCAGAGAAGGTGGAAAAATGTTCACAGGTGCTAAATGAAAGATCTCCCTGCTTTTTATTCCCTTAGACAAACATAGCACCTGTTAGCTTTGCATCCACTTGTACAAAGGATCAGGCTTGTTTATGTACAGCAGGCTGTGTTTGCATATGTGGCTGCAGCAGCATTACCCTCCTTCTGTGTATAATTACGTTCATATTCATCCTTGCCAGATCACTTAGGGCTCATCATGCAGGATTATGGAGTGCTTTCAGTTTGCGTTTGTCCCACTTTGAAAGAATTTACACGAGCCTTATCTGCTTGTTGTGCGTGGCATTAAGCGGCCTTTTTAATTTCAAGTGATTTTAATGCAGTCAATGGCTTTTTTTTTTTTTTCCTTTTCTTTTTTTCCCCCAAGAAGAGGCCGTGTTGGGAGAAATCAGTGCTTTCTGTTTCTTAGCAACAAATCCACTGCATTGGTCTGATAAGCCATCGTTTTCTCCAGACGTGACTTGGAGACAACTTTGGAGTCTTAGTGAACAAAATCTTCTATTCTGTGTCTGATGTTAGAATTTTATTCAAGTGTTTTGTCTGCTGCGGTGATTCTCTATCGTGATGGATTCCAGATGACTGCTAAGAAATTGCATGACTCGTTATGTAATTTTATTTTGACGTTTTTTAAAGATGAAACGATGTGCTTCTGTTCCCAGGCGGGGCTGGTTTCCCTCATCTTATTGTCGAACTTACACTGAGTCGGTGGTATCAAATAGGTAAGAGGTGTCAGAGCCAAGCATTGAATAAATAAATTTTTTTTTTTTTTAATTTCACAGCTGCTGTTGGATAACTGAAGCTTTATGTAATGTGTCTCAGTAGTAATCTAGGCACGCCGGTGCATCGTCTTAGTACGATTAGCCTGCCAGAGACTGAGGAGGAGGACGACGAAACAGTGTTGCTGCCACCACCAGACTACAGCGACGACGCCCCCTCCCGCCCAGTCATCCTCTCAATGCCTTCGCCAGTAAACACGGTCAGTATCAGCACTCGATTAAGTAAACCACCTGTCATCAGCTGTATCAGGAGCATTTCCAGAGCGTGACCTGATATCTTTTTTTTCTCATGTTTTGATAATTCGGGTTGATATGACGTATCTTTAGGTGGCAATGCTTTGAAATAGTGCTGCAGTTAAGCAATTTGAGTTTTGTAGGTATTACCAAGAACACGTGCTCTAGAAGAAAACGGATAAACAACATGCCTTTACACTGGATGTTTTGCTGTAACACAACAAGCATGTATGGAATTTGTGCAATTTCACAAATGATTGATTTATTATGATGATCAGGGTTGTCATTTAGGGAAGCTGTTCAGTGAGTGTGCTACTCAGCATTTTTCTGAATCTGCTCTGTAGTTTTCCATTACATTGTAAAACAATAAGTATACTTTTTTTTCTGTGTATTTCACACTGCTTTTAACAATCTTTCACATTATCATTTCTGCTCTTGGCTTTGTACGGCTGCAGCTATCCTTGATACGGTCTAATTCACACATCTCTTGGTGTGAGCACAGAAGCTGCTGTTAAAACCTTTTGCTTGTGAGAGGTAGCCAATTGCAGGAAAGCTAGCCAAGGGAAGCTAAAACAGCTTTATTGAAAAATGAGCATAATGTGTCTCCTTTAAGCGCTAATATTGTTATGCTGACATGCTGGGCATTTAAAAATATTTCATTTAAATTTTATTTTGAAAAAAGACCTATGCAAATGATCAAAGACCCCGCAGTGGCAAAAAACAGCCCCTTGAGATCATGATCTATCCAGCAAATTCAGTAATCATTTCCAGGTGCCTTGAAAGCTAGTGCAAGACCTGCCTTTGCCATTCAAGCAGCGTCTCACTGAGCCACCTTTTAAAAACAGGGAGGTGATGTCGATTTCCAGTCCAATAAAAGTAGTCTGTTTGCACCAATCACGCCTTCCCTCAGGGCTTTTCTTTGATGGGCCTTGTTCCATCAGATACTAACATGCTGTTAAGTTTAATATTAGGCACCAACACAAAGAACAGCTAAGAGTGACTGTTGAAAGCTTGGAGCGAAAAGAGTAGCTGCTCGTCATCTTCAGCCCTCTTTGCTATTAGAAATAGGTCTGAGCTAACTGCAACCCCATATCTCACACATGCCCTCCCCTCTCTCTGTTGAGTTTTGACACCCAGTCTGTGAACAGAAAGGAGTTAGTCTGCTGAAAAATCCAGAATGCAGTACTTGTCAAAGGATTGTCAAATACGACATGGTATGCTGTTCAGAACAGCTGTGCCTCAAGCACAAGCACGTTTTTAGTTACTAATTTCAGTCAGATTTAAAGAAAGGGGTTTTTTGGGGGGGTGGTTTTTGGTCAGCTGTGGTTCTCTCTTCCACTTTGGACCACTCTGAACCACATGTCAAACTCTAGGCTACTTGGAGATAAAGAAAAAGAACCACCAGAGTCATTGTGATTCACAAAAATGAATTTCTGCAAAGTTTGCGTGGGAGTCTTGATATATTTAAGTCCTCAGCAAACATTGCCCTTTGTAGAGACATTATAAAAGCTAATATCCTGCAGCTGCTCTGTAATGTGACATGCATTTCTGCCCGGCTGCTGCTCATTGGCGAAGTTTAATGGCTGAAGTTTGTGGAGTTAGTCATCATTTTAACACAAGGTTATTTCTTCCTGATGGGACACGTGCCCTTGCTGGGTCGTCACTCCACACATGCACCATAAATGCCATCATGCAGGCAGAACTTTTAAGTCGAACTGATCGCGTCTTATCAACATCTCCTTAGTGCGCAGTCACCGGCTCCACGCCCTTGAAATGGCACAGCTAGAAGCACACCTGTGTTCTGTAAACAAGGTTCAAGGAAATGCGCTATATTTATTAAGACTATAGTTTCCAGGAAGTATGTTTAATGTTCAGAGAAGTCACATTCAGTAGGGGCCTGTTTGTAATTTTGACAGATACAGGCATGACCACGGTACCTAGAAGAAAAGTGTAAAACAAATCAGAGAGGAGAAAAAGGTGGTAAAATACTCCCAGACAGGTTTTGACTAGAGAAGAGTTACAGAGGGAAGCATAAAAGATGAGAGAGTACAGTCTCAATTTAATTTTGTGACTGTGCTGTGCTGCCTGACTGGAAATGAACTATCTGTTGAGCCAGCAGGCAAGCCCAGGCACACTTCTTTCTCATCACCTTCCTTTCTGTTCTGGACTGTCTGTACTGTCCTCTGAGTTTGCTGCGTCAGGGTTTCACTATGAAATATACGACAGTGGGGGAAATACCAGCTCAGCGTACCCCAAAATTTTACATCCTGTTTGAGAATGTAGGAGCTACAAATTTACCACCAAAAAAGTGTTTATGTTCAGATCAGCCCTATCAGCTAGCTATCAGTTACAATAATAGAACCCCCTGGGTGTCCTGTGAATTGTGGGAGGTGGGACTTCTTCCAGCACATCCCAAAAACGATCAGTTCATTTGGGATCTGGGGCTTTTTGAGGTGGGGTTAGTTTGTGTTCCACTACAAAAGCAATTCAGGAGTGTCTCAAGGAACACATTGCCCTTCCTTCTTACCATATCCACTGCTAGGAAGTGCTGTTGCCATGGGGGTGTGTACATTGCCTGGTATGTGACAAAGGAAAAGCTGTGCATTATTCTAACAGTGCACAGTCACAATGGTCAGGGGTCACTTTACATCATAGTTGATCAGTGTGTGTTGGACACAATTATATTCTGTGCTGTTTGAGGGGGGGAATTGCAGGACACCTTTAAGCAAGGTTAGGGTGGGTTTTTTTTGTGACATAATCAGTTGAACTGGAGAAGAAATTCTGTTTTTTAACACAAATTTGATTGAGGTTTTCTCTTTGTGAAGCAAATCTGTGCTCATTTATTTGTGATTCATCTAATCAGAAGTAAAAGTTTGCTGAGAACTACAAAAAAGCCAGGATGTTTCAAACAATGAATGATGAATGTAATGCCTTCAAAGCCCGTCTGTGGCTTTAAGAACTGTCACATTTTTTTTTGTTGACACCTGGTGTTTCCTGCTCTCTAGGGGAAAAGATGGGTAATGTCTGTTTCCTACAAAAAACGACAACAAAAAAGGCCTTCTCATACACATAATAAAATTATCTGCATGAGCTGATGTGACCTACCATGAAAAACAGAAACCACTGATGGTTCATTTTAAAACCTTTTGTCACGGGACATATTGTGAGACTACGGCAGCCCTCGGGGCATGCAGCTCAGAGATTTCTGCTCCTGAACCTCGTTGTTTTCCATGCTCACCTTTCACTCTGCTGGCAGTAAGATTATCACCAACCTAAGGTGAGAGAGGGTAAAAAAAAAAAGTGTTTCAATTGCCAGCCTTTCTAGATTGTCTAGATTACAGGTTCAGTGAGTTCTGAGTTTTGTGGTGTAATTATATGTCAAAGGAAGGCGGGGGGGACGACAACTGTTGATGGGAAGTCTGATCAAACTAGTCCGACAACTAGTGCTTTCTTAATAGCTGGAGGCAGTTTTTGGAGATTGCAATGATGCCTGTTGAACTTTGTGTTGTTTCCATTTTGGTGACTTGAAGTTAAAGAGTCATTTCTTCTGCTTTTTCTTTAATAACAGGTTTCTTTAGTCAACGGGACTCCAAAGGCTCCTTTTCTTGCGTGAGTGACACAGCTGGCAGATTTTCACATATCCATATGACTAATTAAAAATCTATTTAACAATAACCTCATACATCTTTGTTCATTTTCTTTCCGCAGAGGAGGGAACCCCTTTGCCATGGTCAAGCTGAAGCCGACTGTCACAAATGACAGATCTGCACCACTCATCTAACTCTAAGCTTATTAGGGTGGTGGGGGGGTTCTTCACCGCTGTTATGCCTTCAGGGGACTCTTGTACTGGAATCATACAACCCCCTCTGCGACACACTGACTATCTCCCCAACCCAACATCTCACTAGCCTGCATGCTAGTTTTTTTTTCCTCAGTACCAGCGCGTGTTTTATCATCAACAAAATGAACATTTAGACTTCCCTCTGATCCATATCATTTTAGTAAAAGTAGCATTTAAATTGGTGAACGTGTTGCATTTCCTGTGGCTGCTTTGCAGTGAAAGCCGCCATGTGATCTGCAGTGCCATTAGAAAGTATTTGCTTTACGTTGTTTACCAGGAACTTAATATGACTGCTGATACTGAGCGGAGACAGAAAACTGTAAACAGTGAGGCTGTTATCAAAGTAATCAAATTGTACTGAATTGCAGTCATGCGTCTTTAAAGCAGTCCAGAGAAATCCACTAGAAGATTTTCCTCTGTCACTACCAGGAAAAAGTGCACATACACAGCTACTCCAAGTAAACAGGTTGAACGACCATTGCTTTTTACTCCTCAGTCGTAAAAGGCTGATGGGGTATTGTGTCTACAAAATTGTTGTTACTGATATGCTATTTGGTAGATGAAGTCTTTGTTTTCATTTTGGAATGAACCAGTCTCTTTATTGCTTTGTAAGACACTCGGTCAGGCTTGTTTCAATGAAAAATGATGAGATCCAGATGTAAACCTTTGCTACCTGATACTGAGGAAACAGACAAGCATACAGGTTGTCTTCCTGACTTGCCAAAATATCTGTATCTTTAGTTCTTTCTTTTTTTACTAGTTATTTTACTAGTTTTGTTTTTTTGTTTTTTTTTTAATTTGTCGAGGTATTTAGTTGTGAGAATGAAGGGAGAGTGATATTGGGAAAGAAGGGGTTTGTCATTGGATTAAAGGCAAAAACACTAAGTCACAGTTTTGAATGACAAAGGTATTTATATATAAAATAAGTTTGTATGAAATATTTAATAAATCTGTAAACAAAAGTCAGACACAGCAGTCACCACGCTCAGTCCGAGCCATGGATGCTACTTTCTTTTGTTGTTGTTGTTTTTTTTTTTGTTTTTTTTTGTTTTTTTTTTGTTAGGCCTGACTGCTGCTTTTGCATATTAAATGGATAAGATGACCTTTTGATGAAGGGAATTATTTCACTCCTCATTGTTTGTTTCGTAGTTGTTAAATGTAGCTTCTGTGCACAACACAGTTTATGCAAAATGAGAATGTACTTTAACGGCAATCATTTGAAATGTGCATAAGTAAAATAACTCATTGTTTGAAATATTCAAAGTGTTATTTTGTGAGGAAAATGACTTTTCCCCCCATGAATTTGCTTTTCTGAGTTCAGCTGTATGATGAGCAAGTGATTCATAAGACAGTTGATTGAATCGTATTAACTCACTGATGTAAGTGAACCCATCACACTGCCATAATGAAACATGCTTTTCTTCCGAGTACCTTGCCACTGTGTTGACCGATAGTCTTTTTTTTTTTTCAATAAAACATAAAGCCTGAATGTTCATTTTCTGTTGTCTTCTCGCTAATTTAACTGTCTGTTAGCTGAAATGAAAGAAAGTGATTATAATCGTAACTTAAGGACTGGAGTGAAAACAAGTGAAAAGGCAGCCAATGCCCAAAGAAAGACTGGAGAACTATTGCTCAATTAAGTCTGGCTCCTTAGAAGCAAAATATAAATACAAGAGAGCTCGGGATATTTGCACAGTACTACTCCTGAACAGCCTGAACATGAATTATAGCTTTACAGCGCCCTCTGCTGCTTGTCTGCTAAACAGCACCTCTACAAGCGCCTGCTGCCACGGAAACTGCCAGTGGGAACAGAAGTAACAGCACTTCCTGTTTCAAACTGAATCATTTCTGCCGTGAGTGAGCAGCTACGGCACACAGAATGACTCGGACAGCTTACGATCCTTCTCCACTGGATGAATGAACAGCTGTGACTTCTCACCACCGCCGACAGCCGCTTTATGAGAGGAGGCTCAAGGTTGGCTGCTTGAACTCTTTCAGTTTGCTATTTCTATCCGGCTAAGCCCGTAAGCCTGTACCAAAACAAACTGAGCATCGTTAAATCATAGAGTTGGCTTTACTGCACACCTTCGTTTGGGGGCATTTCGTTTCACATGTCCCTCTCCTGTCAGTCGCCTCTACAGAAAATAGTCCAATATTTCAAGCTAATCTTACACCGTTGCTAATAGGCAGCTACGTACTTTATTACTTGGTAGTAAGCCTCACGGGTGAACAAGCGCAGTCGCTTCAAACGTGTGTGTGTGTGATATCTTTATGTATTTTATTGTTACCATCAACCTGGTGTGTGCTGCATGTACAGCTGTGAGTGACAGGATACGCCTTGTAGCAGCAGCAGCGTCCCTACTTGTTACGAGATGCTGTGAAACAGTTGACTGCCACTTAGCTAGCCCAGAGCCCACTCTGTCATCTGTGTACATTTCACATACAAGCTTGGTTATTACAAATGCCACACGTATAGTGTGTTAAATGTGGGTCAGCAAATTGCGCTGAGAAGACATCGAGCAACGCAGTGCAAAGGTCATCGCCACTACAGCGCATGATCCAAACAACTAGTTTACAGATGGGTAAACAACTGTTCTCTAAGGAGGCCATTTGGCCCTTATCTCCCTATTTTCCACACACACTTTGTTCATATTTGTGTATAATTGTAGCCTGCTTTTTCCTTCTGTACTGTTGGTGGGTTATGTCTTCAGGCTCCTGCTCATTTTAAATTGTGTACTATGCTTTGCTTGATATGCAGTGGTCATGAAAAATATATTTATATTAATCAAGCATGACATTCTGACCACTGACAGGTGAAGTGAATAACTCTGATTATCTCTTCATTATGGCACCTGTTAGTGGGTGGGTATGCTAGGGAGCAAGTGAACATTTTGTCCTCATAGTTGACATTTTAGAAGCAATAAAAATGGGGAAGCAAACAAACAAAATCGAGTCCGTCACAGTTTGTTGCATATGGGGCTCCATAGCTGCAGACCAGTCAGGGTGCCCATGCTGACCCCTGTCTACGGCTGAAAGCACCACCAGTTAGCATGTGAGCCACAAAAGATGTGCCTAATCTGATGAATCATGTTTATTTGATATCATGTGGACGGCCAGGTGCATGTGGGTGTTTTGCTGGGGAACACCTGATACGACGATGGACTATGGGAAGAAGGCAAGCCGGCTAAGGCAGTGTGATGCTTTGAGAAATGTTCTGCTGGGCAACATTGGGTCCATGTGGATGTTACTTTGACACATAACGCATATCTAAGCATTGTTATAGACCACGTACATGCTTTCATGGAAACAGCAGGATAATGCGAGAGGCCTGAGTACAGAAAACATTCAAAAATTGAGACAGATAAATAATAAAAGACATGATCGCATATTAAGAAAAAGATATGCAAAAGTAGTTGCAGATAGACAGATGCAACCATTTAAAATATTCCACTGAAATCAGAGAGTACAGCTGCATTTTTAAATTTCTTTGTAGCTCTTTCCATTATTTATCAGCAGTGAAGTATTTCAATCCAGGTTTTCTAAGTTCAGGCTGATCAGGAGGTACAGCTAATGTTAAAATGTCCCATGAACTGACATTGTAAGTACTGGTTTAAATTCAATCAAGGAGCAATGGTAAGCTAAGGGAATCTTGGGAGCAGAGCCTTGTAAACAAACATCATACATTGCTGCTCTCTGCGATTTGCTAGGGAACACCATCCCACTTTTTCATATAAGATATAGTGTTGGGTAAGAAAATAATCACTTGTGATAAAATCATAATGCACTGCGATACAGTGAGGGGAGATTGGTGGGGGAGGCAGATGGACCGGTATAGTGTCTGCAGTATTGTAGAATCACTGTATCCATCTGTTGTGATAAAGAGACTGTTTACTGTGAAAGCAAAACTGTCAGTTTTTACTGGCTGATCGATGTTCCTGCTTTTATTTATAGTCACGTATGGTTTGGAGTGACTGAAAAAATGAGATTGCAGATAGAAGCAGCTGAAACGTGTTTCCTCCAAAGTGTTTCTGGGCTCAGCTTTAGAGAAAGTGTCAGGAACTCACTCATTTACAAGGGGATTTAAGGTGTTTTAACCATCTGACTAGGATGGTGTTTCACACATGTCTAAAAGGGAGGGACAAATCCCATGCTGGCATCGGAACACCATGGTGTCTCCCAAGAGAGCTAGAGGAGACGGCCAGGAAGTGGGAGTTCTAGACTGCCGGCTCCACGTACAAATCCACGCATGGACCAACTGTGAAGGATTCAAATTGAGTTTTTACTGATCTGCTTAAAGTGTGTAACCCTATCTCTGAGCCAATTTCGCTTATTTTTGCCATGTCCAAAACATTTTTATGAGGCCCAGTGTTTTTAAACACATACTTCAGCATATTTACACAGCAGCTGATGCCAAATGTTGTGGTACACGTCCCAGTGTTTTAGCCATTCATTCTGGGAAATTGTACAACGTAATTTCAAAGCTACATTATCAGCATTAACCCATTTTCTTCGTCAGGTTCCAGGTGCAGCCATGCCCGTCTCACTGCTGTGGGCTGTGGACGTCTACGGGCGGGTCTACGGCCTGTCCACGGCGGGGCAGCAGTGGGATCAGTGCCGCGATGCCCAGATGGAGTTCAAGCGGGTCACGGCGGCACAGCAGTGCTGCTGGGGCATCGCCTGCGACAACAACATCTACCTGAACGTTCACGCTTCCGACCTGTCCATCCGCTACCAAGAGGAGACCTATGAAAATCAAGTGGGTCTCTGTGACTAGTCGGGGGCTGTCATTCTTTAATGACTGTAATTACATTAAAATAAGTTCTTGTAAAAGCCAAGAAATATGTAATAAGGAACCCACATTATTTGTCTGTCTTTAAGCAAGTTTGTAATACATTTTCTTTTTATTATTATTGCACAAGTAAAATTGAAAGTTAAAGTTCCCCATTATATGTTCAGCATCCTCATATGGCAGAGTCCCACTTCTCTGTTGCTAAATCCACAAGCCATTAGGCTACGTGCTTTAACAAGTGAACCTTAGAAGCATCCTAAACCAGTTTTTAATGGGAAAAAATTCTCACAGTGCAAGATCACGAAACCTTTTTTTAACACTGCTCTTTCAGATTATCCCCATTAGGTCGACACTCAGTCATTTTCATTCTTGTGGCTACATCTTCATGGGCTATCTCACTAAAAGTGCTCTTGTTTTCCCTTAATATGAAATAAAAGGCAACACCACCGGCTTTAACGCAGTTCACTTTCTCTGCCCAACTTTTTGTCAGCGTTGGAATCCCGTAGACGGTTTTTCTGAACGTTTGCTGCCAAGCGACCGCTGGCAGTGGAGCGACGTCACAGGTCTGCAGCACCAACCTCTGGACAGCTTCCAGCTGCCCTCCAGCAGCTGGGAGTGGGAGGGTGACTGGTATGTGGATGAAAACTTTGAGGGAGAGCCCACAGAGAAAGGGGTGAGTTTAAAAAATGCGTGTCTGCTTCAGTTACTGCCCTTTTTTCCTTTCTCTGGTGTGACCTGTTCAGATGTTTGTTTCCAGGGATGGACCTATGCCATCGATTTCCCTGCCACCTATACTAAAGACAAGAAGTGGAACTCCTGTGTCCGTCGCAGGCGATGGCTCCGCTACAGGAAGTACAAAGCAATGGACACCTGGGCTAAGGTGGGTGTTACTGCATAACATATGCATGTAATGAGTGCTGATGGGTGAATGCGCGTATTAAGTTCTTGTTTTCCTTGTGTGCATGGCAGATCCCCTCACAGCACACAACTCTACCAGATCCCTTCAGCGACATCAGCTGTGGAGGTTGGGAGATTAGTGAGGAACCCAGGGGCCGTCTGTGTCTGTGGGCTGTATCCCTGCAGGGCAAGGTATAGATTATATATACAGGGCAGCGCCTACCTTGTTTTAGGTGTCATTGGCAATGTTATTATGCTGCTATATGCTCAGATTGAGAATTTCTTGACTGTTGAAGTAATTCGTGTTTATTAACTGTGTATGCTTCAAATCATTTGCTATTAAAAGCAGAGTTAGACGTTAGCAGC